TCAAGAATTCTTTGCAATAAACTTGAGTTTCCACTCAGTCTGCTAAACTGATACTTAGAACAGGACTTCAGACATTGTGGCCTGCAATCCTTCATTCTACAATACAAATATTTATAAATATTATACCAATATATATATATATATATATATATATATATATATATATATATATATATATATATAGAGAGAGAGAGAGAGAGAGAGAGAGAAAGAGCAAAAGCTATATGTAACTAGCTTACACACCCTATCCCTTTCTCTACACTCTTATATATATATATATATATGTGTGTGTGTGTGTGTGTGTGTGTGTAAATATTATCTTCTTTTTTCTTACCTAATGCTCAAAATGCAGACATGAAAACAAATTTTTACTGTGTTACTTAAAAATCAAAAGCAAAATACAAATATCTTGTAAAACATCACATAGAAAAATACAAATATATTCACTATATACAATGTGGATAATGTAACATACTTTAGACAAAGCCAAGAAACAACCAAGCCCAAAAGAAAAAAGAAATTAAAAAAAAAATAAATAAATAAATAATAAAGAAATTAACAAACTACTTATACATGCATAAGCACACCTAACTAAATTTAATAATAATCAACAACAAATAATTAATGAATAAATACAAAATACCCAAAGTAGTCAATAATAAATAAGTGAAAAGTTAATTAACAGCACTATATAATAACCACATTTTGCCCGACAATTATTTCTACTCATTCACCTTTAGAGTAATTTGGAATAGAGCTGTTGCTGCCTATTCAATAACCTTTAGGATAATACAATAAACCAGAAATACCTGATGCTACACATAATTTCTCACCAACCAGCATATAAAAATATAGTTGAGTCACCATACAACAGACATGGCTTCAAAATTGTGTTCAAACATGAAACAGTCATCTCTCAATGTTGAGCTCAGTGTTCACTTTTATATATATATATATATATATATATATATATATGGCAGTGACCCAACCTGCATCCCCTTTGTAGGAGAATGCACCATTTGATCCAGTGGACTTTACTGCTTAGCTAACAGATAGTGTCACAGTCTAGCAAGAGTATGCACTACAATAACATTTAACGTAATGTCAGATTAAAAATAAATCCATTTATTCTTTAGAAATTGCTTTGTTTACATTCTGGATATGAAACTGAACAGATATGAGCTTTCAAGAAAAAAAGAAGAATATATATATATATATATATATATATATATATATATATATATATATATTCCAATGTCTGTAACAGTTAATTTAAAAGAGGGCTCAATACATAGTAAAGCAATATTATGAACCCTGTTTTCTGTGTTTACATGAAAAATTGGAAGTCATCAGCTTCTTTGATAAGAATTCTTTATTAAATCAATGATTCGAATTAACAGTAAATTGTAAATACAGTTTACCTTTTATTTTGCGATTCAGTTAAACTTTGGAATTTGACAATGCTTTTTCTTAGATTTTAGTTGAACTGTGTTGCACCATATATGGCTTATCTTTCTATTAGTATGATTAATTTGAGTTTAATTTAGTTCTGTATTAATCTCCTGGTAGTATCAGTAACATCTTATACAGATGTATTGGTATTTAATTAGTAATTTTGTCATTTTACTTTGATTGGTTGATATTATTAACATCTTATATGGATGATATTTATTTAATGGTTGCATATTATTTACCAAATAATTCCATATGTTTAGATTATTTACTAGTTTCTTAAAGAGGCTTCTTTATCAACTACAAAAGAAAATTATGTAGGAAATCTACAAAGCATATAACTAGTTGGGCATTCAGTTAAATTATCTCTCTATCCCACCACTTTTATTTCTTATGGAAGCTGACTATCTGGCATGTGTACATGTATTGTAACCATTTGTATCAGTCTTTAAGTTAATGTTTGGCTGCAGTTAGATATCAACTTTTGGCCATGACACATTTCTAAGATAATAATATCCATTTTTATTTTTTTATCGCTCAGTTTGAATTTAACATAGGTCATATTCGATTGGTTTTTCAGGGTAAAGCTCTCAAGCCTTATATATTTTTTTTTTACAAAAAAAGAGGATGTATTTTGCTTTTAAAACCAAATTAATCATTCACTTGCCAGTAATTTACAATCACCTGAGGAGATGCATTGTTATGCATTGAAATATGACTGCAATTGTTTAGTGATTCTTACATGTTTTTGTTGTAATATCCTAATATATATATATATATATATATATATATATATATATATATCAAATAGCTGACTATTCATTTTCAAGGACATCCATTTGCCAGGGCAGCTAACAAATCCTACCTGTAGTTTTATACTGCAACTATGTTGGGCAGACATTAGTGACAATTTCTGTGACAGAGCTCATAATATGGTGTGATCTATTTTTGGGAAACAAGGCCAGCACCCTCAAACCATTGGTTACAATGACTTGTAACTTCATACTAGCACAACATTGATGGCTTCCGAATGTGATCACATCATCTCAATTTCACTTACAAGACTTAATTTGTGGTTTAGCTTTCAAGCATCTTCCAAAGATGGCACACACTGTGATTGCCTCCCAAGGCTGATATTATCAAAAAGTTACTTCCTGATAAAAAAAATGCATATATATATATATATATATATATATATATATATATATATATATAAGTGGTGACAAACTGTTTCATGCTTAAATGTGATCATCATGGCCTGACAATTATGTTTAAACATGGAACAGACTTTTACCGTTGGGTGTTGATCTCAATGTCCACTTTTATATTTACATATATTGTATCCTTGATATCAAGCACTTTACATCATAAATATAACAATATCTTAAAACTATATTTTTATCATATATATATATATATATATATATATATATATATATATATATATATATATATAAAACAAGATTCAACTGAAAACTATCATATTTTTCCAATCTTCAAATAAGTCATTGCACATTGGAATCAGAATTATGGATAAACACTCCAAAATTCATGATTTGTTTTGTTTTTATTCAAGTACTTTTGACTAACCATCTCAGTCATTATCAAGAACAGGGTGTTGTCAATGACAATACACTGTTCTTGATAATGACTGAAATGGTTAGTTGAAAGTAGTTGATAAAAATCAGAATAAAACATGAACTTTAGACAATTTATCCCCAATTTTGATCACAGTGTAAAATAACATATTCAAAAATTGGAAAAATGAAATGAAAATTTAAACAAACTGACCTTATTGGTTGAATTCAACAAAACTTGTTTGAATTAAATCCTGTCGCTTAAATATACATATACTAGTTTATATACGAGTACTATAGTACTAGACTGGCAGCCAGGTCTCATTATTTTGCAGTTGAATTAACTTGACGTAACTATAAGCTCTATTCAAACAGTTTCTTTTCTTTCACTTCTCACCTATGTGAATTGTGTGCTATATCATTTAATTGACTGCATTTCCATCTACAATTGGTACATACTCATCTGACCTTTTAACTTTGGATTACCACTTATTTTGATCTTGACAAATATTTTCTTAATAGAAGAAACTTTCTCTGGAATGCTGTAAAAAGCAATTAGATCAGTTCATCACCCAGAAAAGATGCCAAATTCTGGGAGGACAGAATTCTGATGCTGCTTCAGATATGATAGTGCAAAATGATACATCTGCAGTTGAACAAATCTGTGTATAAACTCTGTCTTTGAAATTCACTGAAAAACACTACAAACTTTTGTTCCAACACAATATATGTGTGTGTGTGTGTGTGTGTGAAAGTGGTTGTGTGTGTGTGTGTGTGTGTATTCATGTGCATGGGGTAAATAGGGTTTTTTTTTTGAACTTGTATTAGAATTGTTTAATTCCTAAGTGGGAACTGACTTTCCAAAGAGACCAATGTCCCTCTTGTCCCTAATTGTCAGAATTTACTGAAGAAAAAAAAACTTGTAATGGATGAGAAGTTAAAAAGGATAATGCATTAATTTAAAACTGATTAATGAGATAAAAGTATTTGAGTGCTCCTCTTTTATGTAATAAAAGAGAAAAATGAAAACATTTGATTATATTCAAAGCAAAAGAAGAAGAAGAAGATAATATGAAAATATTAACATGAAGAAAATCTCCAACAATTATCACCATCATTATCCTATTATATATTATGCTTATCCCTCACTTTGTTAGTTTGCACGACCATTACACCCTGCCAATACCTCGTAAATAATGGACTATTCTGTATTTTGACCATGTGGAAAGAGAAGAAAAGACATTACTTGGTTTCTGTAAGAAAATGAGAGAGAGAGAGAGAGATCAAGCTGATAAGAACAGATATTACACTTTAATCTCAGCCAAAAAGCCAATAATTTTTCAGATGCACAGTATTGAATGATGAAACCAAGTAAGGCAATAGCCAAAAAATCCAATTAAATAAAAAATAAGGGAAGATAAGTGTTTAATTTCTCCTGACAATACCTCATAACTAATGGACTATTCTGTTTGGAAAAGGGGAAATGATGTTACTTTATTTAAGTGACAAAATGAAAGAAATAAAGAAGGGAAGATAAAAGTGTTTAGCGGCTGTTTCATAAAAATGGAAAAAATTGTCAATTTCAAATCTTTTCATTTGTACCCATTTCTTAAAATAATGATCTGTATTCATATTTATTTTCCTTGCAATATTTTGTTAAAGTTGTTAAGCTCAAATATTTAATGATGCAATAGGGAAATTTCTATGGATACTTTATTGTCATAGAACTTGCCATGAGCATATTTAGTCATTAACTTAAGAGTTAAGATTCATCAGGAAATTCAAATAGGAAAACTGAAATTTTCAAACCCCTTTCTAGCTGCTATAATTATTTTTGCAGTTATCTGATGAAATCATTCTAGTTGCTGCCAATTCAGCTGGTCCTTTAACGATATGCAAAACATGTCCTCCTCAAAAAGATAAGGAAATCTAAAAAAACCTTTCTAGGGAGTGTAGTCTGGATAGGAGAGATTAGGGGAAAAAAGAATGAAGAAAGAGACAGTAGAAAATAAGGGTGTGGTAGAGAACGAAAATGAGAGGAAGACAATAAGAAAAGAGGAGAAAAAGAAAATAAGAAACTACAGAAGAAAAGAAGTAAAAACAGTGTAGGAAAAAGAGAGGAGGAAGAAGAGAAAAGGAGAGAAAAAGAAGAATAAAAATAGAAAAAAGGAATAAGGCATGAAAAAGTAAAGTTAATTCATTTACTTTTTCTGCTCTTCTTATATACTTGAGAGGAGACAAGAAAAAGATAACAAGCTAAGAGAGAGAGAGGAGAAAAATGCTATAAAAAGACAAGAGAGAGAAGAGGTGAGATATGTAACAAAAATAAAAATGGAGGAAATGTAATAGGATAGAAAGTAAAAAGTGAAAGAGAATAAAATCCAAATGAAAAATAAAAAAAAAGTGAAGAGGAAAGAAATTTTCTAAACGAAAAGCAAAAATTATGAAAAGTAAAATGGAATAAAAATATAAGAAACTTAAATGATGAAAAGAATAAAAAAAACAATGAAACAAATTCTAAATAATGATATGAAATGTAACCTCTAAATTCCAAAAATTGATATATAGTACACAAATTATAAAAAAGGCCTGAAATGTCACAAATATTGTATGAAAATGACATGAAATATGATGTATAAATTCTAGAAAATGAATGAAATAATACAATTTTTTTTAAATAACATGAATGTAACACACAAATTCTAAAAATATGAAATGTGACAAATTCTAATAATATGAAATGTGACAAGCAAATTTTAAAATTATGAAATGTTACATGCAAATTCTAAAAAATGATAAAGGTGACACAAATTATAAAAATAAAGTAAAACAAACTCTAAAAAAAATGATATGAATATAACACAAATTATAAAAAAAATTACATTAAATGTCACATAAATTCTAAAACATGATGCAAAATATGATACACAAATTCTAAAAAAAATGTATTGAAAAGTGAGATTTTTAAAATATGAAAGGTGACAAATAAATTTAAAAAATGAAATGTAAGGTGTCATATAAATTGTAAAAATTGACATAAAAATGAGACATAAATTGTAAAAACTAAAACAAGAACAGATGAAATCTAAAAGAGAAAAATCAACTAAATAACAGATTTGAAAACCTGTCATCAAGAAAGAAATTTCATAGATGACTAAAAAAATTGTCATCAAATAATCACATTTAAAAAATGGCAAGGTGAGAGCATATTTCATTTTATCATTTCACCTCAAGCAAGGTAATGAAGCCACTAAGATGCAAGCGGTTACTGAGTGTAGAAAAAGAAAAACATTATTGAGGTGAGAGACCGATAAAATAACAGGAATTAAGAAGAAAAAAGATAATGGTTGACATTAGATTTAATTTTTTTAAATTAAACTTGAATGGCAAGCAAGAAGTCAAAAGAGAGTTCAAGAGAAGAAACTGTTAGCATAGAACTTGTAGTTACATCTATCAATTTCAACTGTAAAATGATGAGACCTAGCTGCCAATCTAGTACTGTGCTTAAATTTGTAAAGTTGAGGTACTAAAAAGGAAAGATCATCAAAGCAATTACTATGAACATATTTATAGGAAAGGTACATGGAATCTGTGTTATAGAGGTAGGAAAGTGATTGAAGCAAAGATGCCAGGTCAGGAACAATAACATTGCAGATTATTCTTTGTGTTTTATCAAGAATTTCTAAATACATAGCAGAAACACCAAACAAGATGTGACAGCAATATTCAATTCATGGATGAATGGTAGACTTAAAACATCTAAGATAGATTCTGGTGGGAAAATTGTCTAGAATGATACATTGAACAAATTTCCTGAACAGCGGACCTAGCAGTTGATTCAATATAATCTTTCCATTTCATGTCAGTGGAAAATGTTAGCCCGAGAAAGCACAGTGAGTCATATATATATATATATAATTACTTAATTATAAAACTATTATCTCATCAATTGATCAAACTAAAGGTCTTGTGATAAGAGTTGCTTCCCTTTGGAAGTCACTTATCTCTATCAGGTGAGGGTAGACATTTCTAGCAAAAGGACATATTTAATGATTTTAAAATATATCTACATGTTGGGATTGTATCAAAAGTATTTTCACTTTACCAATTCTCTTGAGAGCTTCTGGATGTTTTTTGAAGCATATGTTTTGCTTCTATTTTTTAATATCTATCTCTGTCTGAGACAAATAAAGAGAAAAAAGTTATCTCCAAAGAATTCAGTTTTCAGTGGCCATATTTGATGTTGTTATATGAAAACCAGGCCATTCAGGCACTCTATCACACCATCATTTTGGTTACCTGCCTCTGTTTCTTTTGCCAAATGTCACACCCTCTAAGCAGATTTTGGAAAGACTTGATTTAATGTACTTTAGTTGCCTGTGTAGAATTAGTCAATACTTCAAATATCTTAATGTATAGATCAGTTGTAACAAATTTATTATAGGTGATAAGGAAATTGAAAATAGAATAGGCTGTACTAGGGATAGTTTTGCACAACACTGCTAGTTGTTACAAATCCAAAACATTAGTTCTAAAGTTCAAATTTTCTTAAATAGTTCTGTAAGATTGAGATTTCTATATGGATACTATATGTGGTCCCAAACTCATCCAGAAATATCTAAACTGTCTAAACCACTTTCTCAGAAATTATTAAAAATAACTTGAAGCATGTAGTGAGAACCATCCTTCTTTGAGTGTCATGAACTGGCACTAGAGAATCAAAAACAAAGACCTGTACCAAATAACAGAAAACACATCACTTGAGGACTTTTAACAGCATCAACAACTAAAATGGATAGCACAGGTAACTAGAAGAGAAAATAATGACATATTCAAGATTTTGATGTTTCACACAATTCAAGCAAAAGGTAAGGAAAGAAATCCTGCATCAATACTAGAAAGAGCAATAACAGCTACTGGACTTAAGAAACCTATTTTTCTGAGATTTTTTGACTTGGTAAAGTAAGTTTTCAAATTCTATTTTGTTTGTTTACTCTTTGTCTGTCTGTCTCTCTCTCTCACACATACACATATATGTGTTGAAAAGAAAGTTCTCAGTCTGATCCACTTAACAAAATCCGATCAAATAACATTACCTCATCTGTCTGTATGTGTGTTTGTGTGTATATATATATATATATATATATATATACATTTCCTCTGACATTTTTCATCAATGATCTGGCATCATCAGAAAAGGCAAAATTCTTTGAAATCCCCAAATCATTGACAAAACAATACAAAGTAAAAATTTTATCAAATTGTCTTAGATGTTTACCACATACATATATATTTTAAATTTAAGGAGCAAGAATTAATTTAAATAAATTTCATTAAGTTCAACAGATAATGTCTGTTTAATTCTTTTTATTGTACTTTACATTTTTTAAATGAGTTGTTGCATATTGAGATCAAAATTATGGATAAACTGTCCAAAGTTCTTGTTTGATTATTTTCAACCAATCTTTCATTATCAAGAACTAAATGTCACTAGTGTAGACAAAACTTTTGTCAGTTTTATATATATATATATATATATATATACATACATACATGCACACAGATAAAGAGACTCCATTCAAAAATAAAAGAGATATAAAAATGATATTGATAAATTAGAACAATTTGAATGAACTCAGATTAAATCTGACTTGGTTCAAAATGTGAAGTGCTACAAAGAGAATGACACACACACACAAGACACAGATTTAGATAGGCCCACTGAGTGATGAAGATATTGACAGATAAATTGTTTGATAAATAGGCAAAGACAAGTACAGAAGGATTGGTTGATAGATAAATATAACAAATTGATCAAGATTGATGAGTAAATTCATTGGCAGCATTGAGGAAACTTGAGTCAAACTGTTGGTCAATTTGTTTTTTCATAATTATCAGTTTGGCCATAAAGAGTTGAAGCAGATTGAAAATTGTTGTTCTCTTTGTAATGATAATTCTTGCAAATAAAGTAGATTAAAATATAATATTTGACAAACTTTGAAATTTTCCTAATGAACATAACCGGGGCCTTTAATTTCAATATTTTTGAAAAATTTGTCATCAACTCACAGATTCTTCTGTTTTCATATGCTACACTCTTTCAAGATGTGGATGGTTGTATTTCTTCACAACTACCTGTCTTTTGCTGTTCTAAGTAACTTTTACCTCTTTATCACACCTCTTTGTTTTGGGGTTATTATTCAGCATGTGGATGATCATAGCTCTCCACAACTTCCTATCTTTTTTGTAGTTTTAAGTAACTCTTACCTCTCTATCATACTTCTTTGTTCTGGGGTCTTTATTCAGGATGTGGATCATAGCTCTCCACAACTTCCTGTATTTGTTGTACTAAGTAACTCTTACATCTTCATCACTCCTCTTTGTCTTTATGGTCCTTATTCTGTCACCCTTTTTACTCAAACTTGACAAGTAGGTTACTTTAATTTTCCCCTTGTTTCTCTTGCTTTCAGTATGTCTTGTAAGTATTATATTTCCCAAGTCTTCTTTCCTTGTTTTACATCCCCAAAATTTCATCTGCCTCTTTCTGATTATTGACAGCCATTTTATTGCAGTTCTAATTCTCCTTAAAACATGTGCTCTGTTCAGTTCTTAGCATTCATTGGTATAACCACATCTCTGGCACTTCAGATTGCTGTAATGAGATTATCCAGTATTCACTGCAATGTAATGGTTATAGTGAGATTAACCATTTCCAAGCAGGAAATATTTGGCATTCACTGAGCAAACAGTTAACATTACTTTTGGTTGAAATTTATAAAAATCTTTTTTTTTTTTAAGCAGCTTTTCAGGAAATTAAACTTCCCTAGTCCAGTAATTGGTCTTTCTAATATTGATGGGAGCTCTCTCTCTCTCTCTCTCTCTATATATATATATATATATATATATATGTGTGTGTGTGTGTGTGTGTGTGTGTGTGTGTGTGTGTGTCTGTATATATATATATATTTATATTTATATTTATCATAATGTTACTGTAATTCTAAATGAATTTAAGAACCTGTATGTTTTTTTATTTCTTTATTCTTCAGTTCATCTCTCTCTCTCTCTCCCCATATATATATATATATATATATATATGCAATATGTGTATATAAATGTGTACTGAAGGTGTGCACACACTTTATACATATAAGTAATATAATGTAATGTTAAAATGTTATTAGATAATGCTATTGCTTTGAGGCTATAGGCAGAAGTCATTTATGTCCTCTTGCAAAGTAATACACTTTAATAAATGAGTATTCTTTTGTTCTTACTCTGTTCATCAGCGAAAATGTTTTTAATTCATTCACATTACGAAAATTATGTCATTTTCCCAAAACACGCCCTTCTTGAGACCCCATCACGATCACCAACAAAAAAAAATTTGACTAAAGTAGATATGATAAAAAATAAAAATAAAATACAGACAATCCAAAAAGAGAAAATTAAGTGAAAAGAATGGAAATATGCAAAGAAAGAAGAAAAAAATGGATTGAAACAAACTAGAAAAAGATCACATCCACAAATACACCAAAAAACATTAAAAAAAAACGAAAATTTGCAGAAAGAAATTCAAAAAGAAAAAAGGGAGATAAGTATGAAAAAAAAAAGAAATTGGAAAAATGTAAAAAAAACCCAAAAAAAACTTAAAAAACACATACACAAATGTTTATTGAGATTTTTTTTTTTTTAATCCAAACCCAGTGTGATTCTATTTTTATTCAAATAAACTAATGAATAAAGGAATGAATGTCAGATTCACTGCCCCTTATGCACTTCAACCTAAACAATATCCTCCACGATTTCTCTTCTATCCTCTTCTTCACCAATCAACAATTCAGTGAAAGTTGATTTGTAGAGTCTGTCACTTTTTTTTCAGAGTTCAATCTTCCATTTCTTTAATTTATATCTTCTTCTTTTGTTCTCTTCAGCTTTCAACTTCCATTATTTCTCTTTTTCATTCAATTGATTTCTTCTGCTTCTTTTTTCACCCTCACTTTGATTTATCACTATTGTTTACTCTTTCTTTTCAAAGGAGATTTTTCTAATCTTTTCTTTCTTGAAGCAAAAGTCCTCAAAATTGTGTCTGTGTATCATTTCATGCACAGATTTACAATTTAAGATAAAATACATAAAGGCATGTGCAAATAAATATATGTGTGTGCATATGTGAATGCATTTTCTATGTACATAATATGCATGTAATTCTAGATATCTTTATAGATATTAACAAATATATATATATATATATATATATGTGTGTGTGTGTATATCTATAAGGATCTATCACATTTCTAATATATTTATTTGACACTGATAAGCAGTGTATATCCAAAATTTGAAATCAGTTACCATGATAAGTCTTTTGAATTTTTCTTCATATGCTGATTAATTTCCATTACATATATATATATATATATATATATATATATATATTTATAAATAATAAATGAATTTTATCTTTTTATCTTATATAGTTTTATTACTTCAAATGTTATTTTTAGTGGATACCCATATTAGACTAGATGCTCCATTTATTTTAAAGTCAAAATAGAACTTTGTTTTATTGTGAAGCTCTTCATAGCTGAGTGATAAAAGCATGCTGGATCAGGTGATGGTTTCTCTTACAAAGAAGGACACCGGTTCAAATCCTGCCAGAGGGTACAATTTTTTAAAAGTTTTCTTAAGTACACATACTGTTAGACAAAATAAATACTGTTTAAAATAAACACAGTGCCTACTCAAATACAGGTATCCACTAAAAATAATGTTTGAAGTTTAAAATATATATATAAAGAGATGTATGTATGTATGTATGTATGTATGTATAAGACAAAAAATATATGTATATCTTTTCAACATATACTGTTAACAACAATAAACATTTTATATCTATTAAATTTTATATTTTTTTCTAATGTATGAACATCTTTTCACAAATGTGGTTGTTGTGTGTGAATAAATTGACCAAAATTCATGTTGCATAGTCTCAAGATTTCAATTCATATAAGAGATAATTGAAAATGTAAGGAGTAAAGAATATTAAGTATGTTTTAACAAGTACATTGCATCATTATTTTTTTAAATAAATCAAATGAAATTAAATAATTAAATGCAGCAATGTGTAATAATTATATATATATATATATATATATATATATATATATATATATATATATATATATTGAATATATTAAAGGAAATTTCAAGTGACTTAACTTTTTTTTTAATATTATAACTGTAGTTTTCTATTGATTGCTTTTTGGTTAGTTCTACTAACCTGAAAAATGTTAAACTCTCCTAATTTTTTTTGCCTATTTTCTGTTATTATTATTATTATTATTTTTTATACATATCTTTTAGCATATATATATATATATATATATATATATATATAAGTTCCCAGCATCACTCATACATGCACATATATAGTTGCATCAATGTAAACATAAACTTAGCCTGATGGAGGCCTAAAGGATAAAACATCTCACAAGAAAATTTTTACATTTGGTTATACTTCTTTCTCCTAAAATTGTTCTTGATATATAAAAATTTATATATCATGATCACACACACACACATATATATATATATGTAAGGATATATATTTATATGTCTTTGTTACTATGTTCCAATAGCTATAAGCATATATATATCTTTGCATGTTTGTTGGCATATGAAAATACGCATATATATGTATATGATGAATATATGTTATAAAAGATTGATATACCTATAAATTTGATACATTTATTTGATGCTTGGTTTTTCATCAATAGAATATTGATCTACTCTATTGGGAAAGTGGTCATTTATTATCAATCCTTTATCAACAATCTTTACTTTGGGGATCAAAGTTTTTGAACATTCTCTCTCTTTCTCTCTAGCTATATATATATATATATATATATATATATATTATGGACCAGGTATACTCATTTCCCAAGTACATCCATCTCATAGCCAATCCCAGTTAAAGACATTTGCTCAGGCACATTTGTGCTTGTTCAGCACTCAGATAGCCTACTTGTGGTTTATATTGCAAATATGCTGAGCCAACCTTAGTCACTATTTCTGCATACTCTGTCATGACCAGTAGTTCAGGCAATACCAGAACATTCATATCCTTAGTCACGATGACTTGAGATTTTGTGCTAGCACAACCATCAATGACTTACCAATAGTTTCAATCTACACAATTTAATTAACAAGGCTTGGGTGAAGCCCTGGTATGTGTTGAGGTCACTTTCCAAAGGTGTCACATGCTGGGATCACCTCCCCCGTCCAATAACATCAAGTAATCACCTTCCTGACAAAATCAACCATAGTGAAATGCAAATCTGGGTCTAATGGTTTGTAAAGCAAATATTCTAACCTTTCAGCCATGCACCTATATATATATATATATATATATATATATATATATATATAAAAAGAGATAGATTTGTTCAGTATTATCCTCATTTTCTCTTTGATCTGTGACATGCCAGTAACAAAAAAATAACAAAAATGATTAAAATATGGATTTTGTGGGAGGAGTACAAGATATCCTAACCATAGGCTAAATTTAAATTTAGTTCTTAAATTCATTTTTTAAGAAATACAGTAAACTACTGATTTAACAGATACCAAATATAATGGATTTAGAATTTAATGGACATTATTACAGAGATAAAATGTTTTAATCTTACTCTAGAGTAATTGTAGCTAAGGTCATATATTGCATAGTGAGGCTATGCAGTGAACACACAACATACATACAGTATTGTAGATAGTATTAAAATATTTTTCACTTTAAAAAAATGGCACCTAATTTACATCCGTCTTTACCAATCTTTTGGAATTTAATTATTTCTCTTTTTCATTTCTTTGCATTCTGTAACATCCAAGTCTACAAAATTGATTACTACAACCATAAAAGTGCTAATTCATACCTATGTATTTTCTATTATAGACATACGCAATCTTTTGTCCAAACTTTTTTACAGCATGATAACACAAAGCCCCTTAGATTAGAAGTGAAGTGTTTATGAAAAAATGACTTGCAAGGCATATAATTCAATCCATTTCTAATGTTTAATCATATAAGGAGCTCCATGCTACAAAGTTAAGAATATAAAACCAATCCAGAGAAATTCAGGATTCATTCCTACTGAGCAGTGATTCCTGTGAAATAATGACACTTATATATATATATAACATGGTTTAGAAACTCAATATTCAATGGAAATAAATAAATAAATAAATAAATAATTGCTTCGGAAAAGAGAGAGAAAGAAAAATAGAGACAAGGTTCAGAGACTATTTATAATGGAAATACAGAAAGAAATAATTACTCTGGAAAAGAGAGAAAAATAGAAACAAGGTTTAAGAACACAAATTTCACTGGAAAAATAGAAAGAAATAATTGCTCTGGAAAAGAGAGAAAAATAGAAACAAGGTTTAGGAACACAAATTTCACTGGAAAAATAGAAAGAAATAATTGCTCTGGAAAAGAGAGAAAAATAGAAACAAGGTTTAAGAACACAAATTTCACTGGAAAAATAGAAAGAAATAATTGCTCTGGAAAAGAGAGAAAAATAGAAACAAGGTTTAAGAACACAAATTTCACTGGAAAAATAGAAAGAAATAATTGCTCTGGAAAAGAGAGAAAAATAGAAGCAAGGTTTAGGAACACAAATTTCACTGGAAAAATAGAAAGAAATAGTTGCTTTGGAAAAGAAAGAGATGGAAACAGAAAAATATACAGAGATAGATTATTAAATGGAATAAAATAAATGGAGATATTTGTTTTGGAAAAAAAGTAGAAAATTGAAAAAAAGAAAGCATGAGATACAATGTTCAGTGGAAAAATATGACACAATTGCTTTTGAAAAGAAAGTGAAATAGAAATAAAATATACAGAAACAATTTTCAATACAAAAAAAAAGATAATGTTTTTTTTTTCTTTTAGAAAGAATGAGAAAAATAGAATAAAAATAGTGAGGCTTAATCTTAAATGAAAAAAATAGATGGAGATGGAGCTACTTTGGTAGATAGAATGGAAAATTATCCTTACATTGGAATGGTGTTTTTCTTAGAAAAAAAGAAAAGAAAGAGGGACCAACTACATATAATTCATTGAGAGTGAGTCAAGGAAAAAGAGAGTTTGTTTATAAGAATAAGTCAGCAGATTCTGGAACTTGTCAATAATAAGAGTCAAATGAGTAAGAAAAGATAGAAATTGTTTTGTTTTTAGTTCTTTCTAAAGAGAAGACAGAGTAAAAATATTGCATATAGACAGAAAGAAAAAGCAGAAAAGAATGCTTATGATATAATGAACAGAGGAAACATTGTATATGGCACAAAGAATGAGCTAACTTCAAGAAAAGAGGGAAAGGGTATGCGAGAGAAGTGGGGAAATGTAGAAAGGCTGTTGGGAGGGGAGCTTAGTTATTGGATCGGGCCAAACAGCCTTGTTGCAGCACGTTAGTGGGCAACAGAGTCAAGGCGGCATGCTTTGAGACAACATTACACATTGCAAATTCAACTTCCACTTTCTACTTTCACTTTCTCGGCTCACTTAATGTGCTGCGAATTAGAAGTTAATTGAATGTTGAAATACTGCCAAGTAGTAAGGCAGCGTTGCTTGTTCATTGAAGGCTGTTGATTTCCCACCCGCTGCAATGTGATGACATGTAACAGCGTCCTAGCAGCAGCAGCTGCACTGGCAGTGGCAACAACAACAGTGGCAGCTGTTGCAATGGCTTTGACAGTTGCAGCGGAATGGAATGATTACTAATCGTAGCAACGGTAATAACAGCAGTAGTTTTAATAGTTGCCATAGTAATAATTATCATATTTCAAGTAGTTTTAATTTTTCTTGTAATAATAACAGATGTTTTAGGATTAATAGGCTAAGATGAATATGAGGGAAATTATATTGGTTGTGGATAGAATTTTAGGGATGTTTTCATTTGAAAATAATTCTTTGATTAGACTTTATATAGCCTATTCATTTGTGGTTGTCATATAAGAATTTTCAGAAATAGAGTTATTGATAGCATATCTAATACTGATAACAGAACATATATAAAACAATATATATGCCTCTTCTTATGTATATAAGCGTGCTCTATTTTAATACTATATTTTAAAGCTTTTTAATGCCCATAAAAATAGAATTTTTTGATTATTCAAGCATTAAAATTCTCTTTCATGCAGTGGGATTTTCAAAATGGGCATTTTTGCTTGTACACTCCTGAGCACTACAGTTTTTTTTTTCATGTTTTTTTAAAAGAAATGAAATTGTGTGTCAACAATTTGAAATGATTTTATTTCTTTCACCTTTTTGAATACTATGATTTTCAGCATAGATAGCAATTTATTCCTTTGGTTTTCTTTTATCTTTTCATTCTATTCCATTCTATTACAATTATATATATATATATATATATATATATATATATATATATATATATATATATATATATATATATAAAATTCATCAGTGAAGAGTCTTGCATCAGCAGCAATAACAGTCACTGTTTACAAATTCACTTTTCTACCTAAGGGCTCAACTGAAATTATTTTTTTGGGAGTATGTATATATTGTTAACCACAGATAAACTATTTTGTTGTTTCACCGCTCATCAGTGTGGCTTGACATCCGATCATTGTACAGCAGTTGGATGGCCATAACTCAGGTATAAAGACAAACTAAAGAGTAACCTACCAGCTGTCAATGTGCCTCATAATAACTTTGATTGAGTTGTCATGGATAGAAATAACTGGATATATTTGTGTCAGAGTCATATTAGAAATTTCGAAATCAGTCATATTGACTGGCTAAGAGATGAAAGACAATGGCAAAAAGTGTCAACAAATATTCCTGTGACTATGTCCCAAGATCCTCACTGTTGCACAATATGTAGACTTGTATACAGGTCTCTAATAGGAATGAAGTGTCACATACAACACAGACATAAAAACTGAATGATGTTGTCAGATCCTCACATGTTGAAATCAAGGGAGAGTCCATCATGTGTGTGTGTGTGTGTAATTTAATCCTTATCTGAAAGAAGATGGATTCATGTCTTTTCCAAAGGTATTAGTGCAAAATAAATCAAACAGGAACAACCAGAATTTAAACACAGCTCAGAGATTCCCATTTCTGTACCAATAACCATTAAATTGCTTGGAAATCCAAAGTGCAGCTAGTTCTACACTAGACTTTACCACTATGATCAAATTATTTAGACAGCCATATTAGTTTTGCTGCATAAAAACTGTCATATCTTTGCTAAAAATGAAGAACAATATTAAAAGATTACAGAGCAATACTTTGAGATAAATGTTAACATGACTACTTACAATTAAATAATTTTTTTAATTATATTATTAAGTATAGATAGAATAATTTCCTGAAGATTAATCAAATGATTTGTTTATTATTTTAACTGGATTTCATCTATTCAAAAAATTATATTGCATTAAGCTTGTGATGTCAGTATTAAAAATGATAATAATTATTATGGCAGTATAAATAAGAGCCAATAGATTTTTTTCAAGAAAAAATATAGCAAAAATAAGAGCAGATAGTGTTTTTCAAGAAAAAACCTTAGCAAAAATAATGGCAGATAGTGTTTTTTAAGAAAAAAAACTTAGCAAAATAAGAGCATATAATGTTTTTCAAGAAAAAAACATGAGCAAAAATAAGGGCAGATAGTGTTTTTCAAGAAAAAAACCTTAACAAAAATAATAGTGTCTTTCTAGTAAAAACCATAGCAAGGTATGTCTTGTTGAGATTTTCATCTTTTTTGTTTCTTTTGTCAAATAATAATTTCATATTTGATAATAGGGAAAATAATTTAGCATAAATTTTTTGATATTTGGGCAGATCTTCTATTATCAAAATATGGGGTATTTAATAATGAAAGTAATGGAAAAACACAAAGAAACTAAATTAAATCAGCTAGACTATATCCCCAAAATGTATATTTAAAAATAAAATTTAAAATTCTCAGTGTCCCCTTTTCTTTGTGTACATGTGTAGTTGTATCAATGTAAACATCACTTTAGTCCAATGAAATCTTAAAGGATGAAACACATCACACAAAAACTTTTTCCACTTTGTCATATTTTTTCCCTTAAAATAAATTTGTTTGAGTCTTTTTAGATGAAGGTTTATTTGACACTGGAATAATGTCCTTATCTTAGTTTAGTAGCAATGTTTGGTTATTCTACTCTACAATCAAAAAAGGATGGAATGAAGTGTTTAATTTGGAATTTCTAAAAATATCATGTTGAAACACTGATCAAGCAACATCAAACCTGGTCACTACTTTGATGGGTGACCACTTGTGAATACCAGGTTCTGTATGCTTGGATGTCCAGGTGGCATAATGGATAATGGATTGGAATTGGAAATCAGAGAGTTGAGTTCAAATTCCAGTTGTGTTCACTATATTCACTTATGCACAAATACACTTGAGAAAGGTATGAATCCACCTCTTCTCCCCCAGCTATGGGTTAATTAGTAGGACTTAATTCAGTAAATCATTATTATCCCAAAAATATTCTTATAATCTAAAAATATTTTCAGGCTTAAATAACCTGCAAAAGGTCGATAAGCTGTAAAAAACAAAAGGAATCAGCCAATCAATCTTGAAGGTTACCAGATACTTGGAGATGGGTGGAGTGTTCAACATCCATGAAAAAGGACACTAGACCATATCAATCAGTGTATAATAAAGATCAATTTCTAAAAGCAACGTTTGTATTTTTTTAATCATTTAACCTCAAGCAAGACAATAAACAAGATGTAAGACTGAGAAAACATTACTGAGGAGAAATGACAATAAAAAGAATAGGATTCAAGGAAACACAAGATGATGGTTGAAGTTGCATTTAAATTTTTGAAGATTGTAGTTGACAGGAACTCGAAGAGAATTCTATAGATGAGCAATGTGAAACTATTAATATAGAACATGTAATATTTTTTTTTAAATTTTATAATAGATTGATATATCATGTTTTAATGGGTATAATGAAATATAGCATTATCAGAATATACCATATTTTAATGGATATAATGAAATATAGCATTTATCAGAATATACCATATTTTAATGTATATAATGAAATATAACATTTATCAGAATATACCATATTTTAATGAGTATAATGAAATATAGCATTTATCAGAATATATCATATTTTAATGGATATAGTGAAATATAGCATTTATCAGAATATGTCATATTTTGACATAACAGATATAATTAAAATTGTTGTGACAACAGCCATACACAAAGTTTTTAATTCAATATAGTTTACAGTCAAGACATACTGAACATTTTGGAAATTATAAAATGATGACAAGTAGTATTAATCATAACTGAAATATTATATTAGAACTATTTCAATTTGGACTTTTGGCCCTACTACATTGAAACACCAGTTTGTGTATGATCATCAAAATTAAGCAACATCTAGCCTGGTCAGTACCTAGAGGGATAACCACTTGGGAATACCACCTGCTGTAAGCTTGGAAGTGTGGGGGGTTTAATAAAAAAAAAATTTTTTAATCAAATTTATCCCAAGCAAGTCAGTAGATCCACTAAGACACAAGGGATTACTAGGTGAGAAAAAATAAGAGAAAAAGAAAACATTATGAAGGAGTGAGAACAATAGAAGAGTAATCAGGAAGCAAGTAGATAATTGTTTGACATTGCATTTAAATTTTTCAAGATCAAAGTTGGTCAGAAAGCACAGAGCCAGAGAGTTTTACATGCATGTCAGAAAAGAAACTGTTGGCATAGAACTTACTGTTACATCTAGCAGCCAAT